TGGTTCTTGCGATGGCAAAGAAGACACGCTATCGACACACGCAGTCTCAATCCAAGACGAAGCTCGATCTGGGAACATTGACGCTGTCGGAACTTTTCCCGAAAAACTGAGAGAAATTATCTATGAAGGTGGTTATTTTGACGAACATGTTTATAATTGCGATGAAACTGGTTTATTTTGGAAGCTGTTACCGTCGAAGTCGCAAGCAACAGCAAGCGGCCCACATAATATCAGACCCAAACAAAATAATCAACGCAATGTTTACAGCAAACATAATCATGATTTTATTCGAATACTGCCTGACACATGTGATGATACATCAATTAACTAAACCGAGGGTTTATATGTGCTTTTTATATGTTTTTAAATGCACGACCTCCCTCTTTCACGACGTCCCTCGGTAAGTCGCGGCCCTCGATAAGTCGCGGTTTTTGCTTGGATCCCAACACCCGCGACTTAGCGAGGGGCCACTGTATTATAGTTTTTAGAGTGAATAAAACAATTATTGGCAATCTAGCTGTTTAAACTATACTTGTGTTCACGTTACACGAAGTACGGGCTAAGATTTAAGCTGATTTAGGCTTATCTAGCATATTTGCATTTCGGCTAGACCCAATTGCGTCCACGCCAGTCGTTAGCACGTGCTAATGGGTGCCAATAGTCGGTGACCTTTGGTAAGCCACTATTTACGAACGAAAAATGGATGACACGCGCGAGGTTCTATTTCTATTTCTGCTGCTGGCATGTTTCGTTCTAATTTTGAAGCGACGTGCACAGGAACGCGAGAGAAGACGGACCCAACTTATTTGGATGCACAGAAACAGTATACAACGGCGTAACAGAATACAGAGTTTTATTAATGCATGTCGTAGACAGCGAACCAAATTTATTTTGTCTACAATTGGAGCTGCTGTACGCTTTACTACAGCGACCTGATCAGTGTGGAAGCGAGCACGGAGTAATGACTGGTGGAATAGAGTCGTTATACGAACATGGGACAATGCAACATTCCTCGAAAACTTAACTTTGGGAATGAGAAAGTTGGACGTATTTGATCACATGCATAATTTTCACACCCAAAGGTCACCGCAGATGGCGCTTAGCCCTGGGCTAAGCGTTTACGCAGACTTCATTAGCCCGTGCTAAGGGTCTAGACCGCATCTTAAATTCGGATCAGATTTAACCCTTACTTAGCATTCCTTAGCCCGTGCTAAGCGTTCATGCACGTTTTCTTAGCATGGACTAAAAAATTTGATCTCTTAGCCCGTGCTAAGGAGCTGTGCGTGAACGCAACTTATATTGCCAATTATATACAATTCACCACTCTTTCAATTGAGATAGTTAATTCTACAATCATCTTATCACCGACTAAAACCCACTCCAGTAATTCAACTATTTAAAATTTCAGGAAAGTCGCTGACATCTTGTATTGAATGAATACAGAGAAATTGTCAATGTTACAAAATTTCTTGACTTTCGCCGATTCACAAAATTCTTGAAAATTTGTCTTTTTCAAAATGATTCAATGATAAAGTGTATGTATTTTCAATAGTTGAGAACGTTGATTACATGAAGATGATCACAAAAACATCATTCTGATTTTTAAAAAAACGCTGATGATAGTTTACCTACCTGCCGAGCACTCTTCTGACCTCCAAACTTCACCTGATGAGTCACATTTTTGATGAAAGCTTGTTGTTTGGCTCCTTTTTTATTTTTCAATCCAAATGTTTTATCCTGTTGAAAAAAAAAAATTGAGTAACAATATTATAGATAGCAGGATTCACAAACTATCCCGGAAGTATTCTATATAGATTTTATGAATGCAAGGAGTTTCCTTTATAAATGGTAACAGTTCCTCAGGGTACCTTCCACATCCACCAAAACTCCAATCCTAACGCTCCCTTCCCGTACGCCATTTCCATTTCAATTGTATATACCCACTTATAATTAATTGGAGAGGCAAAGTGAATTACAAAAGAGGGGACTGAAGTGTTAGGGTTAGGTATGGTTCAGGTTGGGGCTGAGGAAGTCTTCGGAAACTCTTTCTGCAAATCTAGTGTACATATTTAATACCTATTCTTTATTACTTGTATATCTATATTGTATTTGAGTCGAAAAATATTAAAAGACATCAAAATAACCTATTCAAGTATTCTAACTATATGTATTATTTTGAACAACTGCACTTCATCCTCATCCAGTATGGTAATGAAATGATGTGAATTGTGCGAGTGTGTCCATGTAATCATGGAGGTATAAACGATGTAATAAAGTCTTGACTGAACAGAAAAATGTGTTTTGCTAAGTGGAAAGCCATTTGCTGACTGTCTGAATAATCTTCAGAGCCCTAATTTACCTTTTAATTAAATTTATATTTTGTATTTAAACTGAATTAACTAAGTGAATACATTATACAGGTTTTCAAAATATACACAAATTATTGACAAAACAAATCAATCGGTCGGTATATTTTACGTATTTCCCTGGTTGTGTAATCACACAGTAACCGGGCAAAATCTGATCAGTCACACCATACTGCGAATGTCATCACTCAACCCCGTCTTCATGAAAAAATAACTTTCAAATGTGTTTATAATCATACCTCGATAACTTTCTCTTTCTTCTTCTGTTCATTTTTCTTACTAGAACCTTGTTGCTTCTTCGGTGGCATTATGATCTTGAATTCGATCAAAATTCCAGCATTCTAAGGTCAAAATGTCACACTTCCGATAAAGAATAAGGCGCTGTAATTTGCATCATGGGTAACCTCGTACACAGATAAAATTTAAAAAACACAATTTTTGTTTGATACGTACAGTAATTATTTTGTTGTCAGTGACAGCATGAACTTAATAAATAAATCATTTTTCTACATATTTATTTTATGACGGTCCAAGTGACACAATGCTCACAACAATGAAACAAGAATTTAGTATTTGCAAACGAGACAGGAAAATAGACAAAATGGCTGCGCCCCCACGTAAACGTGTTTTTTCCTAGGAAATATTGGTACAAGTACAAGTTTAATTTTAATTGTTGCCGATTTAATTTTGATTTAATTTTGAGAATTATGTCTGTTCGTGCATTCCCGTGGCAGTTCATTTGTGAAGATATTCTCGGTCCTTGTTAACTTCATCAACGCTTTCGATCGGTAGGAATTAACCTTTTCTCAATTCAGATATCCATGACTACGTGTCAGTGTTCTGAAACTAGGGTAGTTTGTATGTGAAGGCGTCGTTTATATTATTAGTGTGCCATTTGCATCATACCGCTCTGTAGATTTGATGCTCACTACTCATTCAGTCTGCCTCGAGAGGGCGCATAGCTCGTGAAAGTATTGGCGCATACTAGTACTTTTGTTTTATACTGTATGTTGATGTTGGTACATTGGACTACGATTTCTGTCATTTAATTCCAGGTAATGCAGTGATCAGTGCCGACCATGGGAAGATGTGTTATATCCATCCGAAGACGATCTCCTTTCAGATTACTTATCTTAATCACATTAATTTTCTTTTTAATATTGGTTATAATTTTAATACAAAAGGTATGTTGTTTCCTTGTAGTATCTTTACATGTACTACAAACTACACCTTGATTAATAATAATTTTTTTCATAGTCTTTATTTTCACATTCACACCACACATTATTCATTGCATTGTGGTCGCCATCCATTAATTGCATCCAGTCACAGATTCATTGCCTTTCCTTCTTGCGTAATTACATCCCATACACACATTTTACCGCTGCAGGAAAACACAAACAATGGTGCCCATGATAATTTCATTAAAGAAATGATTTAATATATATTAAAATTACTGTATCAAATCACAGAATTCATGATCATTATTACTCCCTCGGTGCATGTAACAAATCTCTGTCTGCGATACTGTAAAATACGACAGAATCATTGATCTGTGTTAAAATTAGGTGTCAGAAAATTCACGTCATCTGATTGGCTCAACTGAACCAGATCCTTCTGATCACCCAAAACCAAACGGTTATCTTCCCAACCACATTTTATCATCATGTTTAGCTAGTTCTGGGAGTAATATTTTTCATATCTACAAAATAGGAATGCAACATTACAACTTGGCAGGATTGTTATGGTGGTCTTCTGTCATAGTACTTAAGTCATGTAGAAACAACTAGAATACATTTAACTTCTTCTCATTCATTTCAGAGGCAGTTGGTTGATACCTCATATAGAATGAATGTGCAAGAAAATACAAACGACAAACTCGCGATAAATACAACTAGAAAAATAGAATGCCAAACTAAAAAAGAAGTTGAAACTGTCTATACACAGATGATTTATAAAGATGTAATGGGCAAGGTGAGACATGTTACATAGAAAGCAGAGTTGTGTAAAGAATGTACTCTTGTCTAATTGGTGCAGTCATTTTAAAAACATAATTGCTGATATTTGGAATTGTCAAAAATATTCAAATTTAAAAATTTCAATATCAATTCTTCAATAAATCTACTGTCAAGACTATGTATTTGTGAGGGCAAAAAAAAAGATCTGTTTCTGGTCCAAAGTTTCTTTCAGAAACAATACAGTCATGTGAAACATCAAGAAAGTTGATCTGTACATGTGTGAACAAAATATTGTGCAACCAAGGGCAGGCACATTCCCCCATTTTGATTCATGTGTGCATATTAAGTAGCTAATTTGCATATTAATTATATTTAAGGTTTTGATCAAATTTGGTACATGGATACCTCAGGGTAATATGCAGATATGATTAGTTTCGGAGCCATGACTATGCATAATAAGTAGCTAATTTGCATATTGTCTCATGTCAGTCTGTATAAGCAAAATCTCGAAAATTCAGAACAGATTTTGATTAAATTTGCTAAACATTTGTGATGAACATCAGCTGCCTGATGAACCTAACTTTTAATGCCATTGTTCTTTCACTGACTGTTTTAGATATTTTTTTATAACACAACAATGATTGCATTTATTCTTTATTCATGTAGAAGTTTTTCAAAGATCTTTACTTTGTGTCAAATAAAACAAAACAAATCTAATGTTTTTATAAGCAAAATGGTATTTTTAAAAATTGTCAATTGGTTAAAATAAGATTAATAATTTGGGCTACTCTAAAATGATCACTAGATCTCCAATCTCCAATGACCACGGGAAAAGGTGATTCACATTTTTAGTCCCCGTTCGGACGCAGTACGAAAACGGGGACTTATGTTTTGACCTCCGTGCGTCTGTGCGTGCGTGCGGGCGTGCGTATCTTAGAAATGCCTGGACCAATTACAATCAAACTTCACACATACATCATACATGATATCATACATATGCATGTCAATTTGTTAATGATCTGATTCAAGATGGCCGAATAGCGGCCATTTTTGTGCTAAAAAATCATAAAAATCAACCATTTCTCGGCTGTTTACAGATGGATTTTGTTCAAACTTGGTATATGCATTAGACATTATTGGACCTTGATGCAAATAATTTTGTTTTTCAGATAACATTCAAAATGGCCAACTGGCGGCCATTTTGTATTAATCAATGTGGTTCTCGTGCCATATCTCCGACTTGTTTTTACTGAATATGTTCAAATTTTAAATATTCTTTATACATCATGTCATAGATAGACAGATATATTGGTTTGACAATCCTATTCAAAATGGCCGAATGGTTGTCATTTTTGTACTAAAAAATAATCAAATATTAATAGCATTTCTGGCATTTATGGATGGATTTCATTCAAACTTGGTACATACATTACACATTACGGGTTTTTCAGATCAGATTCAAAATGGCTGTCTGGCGGCCATTTTGTTTTAATGAATGAGTTTCCAGACCCATATGTCTGACTTGTTTTGACTGATTAAGTTCAAATTTTTAATATTCATTATACATCATGTCACGGATATATTGGTTTGACAATTCTTTTCAAAGTGTGCTATTTTTGTGCTAAAAAAATCCTCGAATATAAAGCATTTCTTGCATTTATGGATGGATTATAAACACACATTAGACATTACAGGTTCCTGATGCATGTCATTTTATTTTTCAGATTGGATTCAAAATGGCTGACTGGTGGCCATTTTGTTTTAATGATTGGGCTTCTAGAGCTACATGTATATCTCCTAAATGCTTTGACTGATTATATTCAAATTTTATATATTCGTTATACATCATGTTATATATATATATATACATGTATTCAAAATGGCTGATTTTGAATGCTGTTCCAGAGCAATATTTCTCAATATGAACAAGTACTTGTTTGACGATCAGATACAAATGTCAATCATTTTAATGTTAAAAAAATCATATTCCTGACATGGTTATATTCCAGCTATATTACTATAAACATAACTATATATCTTAAATTTGATAACTAACGGGGACTGTGCCATGCATGGCTTGTATTTTATGTTTTATTTTAACAGGACTTGTTCAGTATGAGAACAAAAGATGTCAGTGTTTTGAAGAAAGTTTGCAGCGTTCTTGATTCATGTAAAGGGTTCAATAGCAATGGATGGCTGAAGAAAAGTGTATCACCCTTAGTTCAAGGGGCAACTGATCTCTTTATTAAGGAAAACGTTACGGTACGCACCTTACCGCTAGTTCACCCGGCAATAAAATAAATACTGTCAGCACATCATTTATATCAAGAAAGCACTTCACCTCTAGAGGGCGCTGCTTTATTACCAGTCTACTGCAGAAGAGGAAATGTTCATTTTGTTTAATTTTAGCAGATTTGTTGTTAATATTTTTAAATTAACTGGTGTGTGATGGAAACAACTATATTGTCCAGTATGAATATTCACTTGATTTTAATTTAGTGCATCCAGCTGTCAGCAGAATAAGCGAAAATAAAACCCAGTGAATAATTAGCTTTTTGAGCATCAACATTTTTTCTGCTTAAATTTGGGTAATTATTTTTACATTTTCTGTAATTTTCATTGATTTTAATCTAAATTATGGACCAAACAGACAAATGTGACATTGCATCTAGTTTTTAAACAATAAATTTAAAATTTTCACAACAATTTATGTGAAAAAAAAGCAGACTAGAAATGAAACTATTTTGTGGATGGTTCCTGAAGTTGACTTTGGTGCTCAGAGAGTTAAGCCCAATACACCTGTAAGAAGAGGAAATACTGTAAAATACTTTATTTTAGCTGGAATAAATTTTCGCTGAATAGCCTTTTTGAATGTTTTGCATGGAATTTATTTTCACTTATTTTTGACGAGTTGAATGTAAAATATAGAAAAAAAGGTATATTCGCTGGATTTTATTTTCACCGAATCATTCCTTCAGCGAAAATAGCAAAAATTAATCCCAAGCAAAAATAAATTATTCTACAGTATTTACCGGGTTTTAATTCAGCACATAAGCTGTCAACAAAATAAATGAAAATAAAAGTCCAATACACTTTTCCAATCAGTTCTTTTCTGTTATATTTTCACAGGTTATAAAGGACTCGCTCACAAATACAAACAATATAATGAAACTGGAATATGAAGAAATGAAATCCAATTTAAAAATCTATATATATGATATAGACATAGGTACAAATATGAAGTCACCGAAGGATTATAAATATGGTGTGGAGTCGTTATTTATTAATCTGCTTCGTAATAGTAAATTCAGAACTCAGGTATGCTTTATCTGTTTGTGAAATGAAAACATAATAATAATAATGTCTGTTTTTTATCAGAACGCTATAAAATGATCAAACATGTATGTTGCCACTTGTATGTTGTTGACATGTAAGCATATGTTAGCGCATATAGTAGTGACAATATTTTGTGTGAAAATATGTCAATAATTACCGGTATTTAACAGAGTGTTAACTGTTTTATTTCGCTGTCAATCTGTTTTTTGAGTAAAACTTTCAAAGAATATTTGTACAATAGCGATGATTTCTATATTTCAACATTCTAAAAACACTTTTAGACATGTACCCTTCAGACAATTCATGTCATTTTTTCACCCAAAGTCACCGCCCAAAGTTTTTAAATTTATCCTTGCCTAGGAAAACAATGGTAAAATGCTGTGAAATAGACAAAACATTTCTATTTTCGGTCCATCAATTATCTCTGTACTTGAAATGTTACATATGTAAAAATAAAGAAGATTACATTATTGTTACTATTGTGTAGCATCTTACCTTACACTTAAACAATTCTGTCAGTCCCCTTTGTGTTCAGTTTAGACTGGTTTAATTTAAGGTAGAGATGCAGTTTACCTGACAGGTATTTTAATTAGTTAATTAGGAAACCAAGATGACCTCCCTTGTGCACAAAACTATGTATTTTCGAAAAGTTTATTGTATGAATTGTAAAGTTTTGTTAGTATTTTATTTTTATGGACACTGTAGTTTGAAATATGCACAAAAATGTGCTTTTTTGGTCAAAAGTGATTTAAAAAAAATTAGCTTCTAAACCATGCTTCTGTTTCCTGTCAAAATTGGTTTATGTGTACATCTGTTTACTATGAAGAAAGCGCCGTCTTGAAAACTGTCTACCAGTTGTCAATTTTGTAGGGCAGCAGCTCAAATTTCACTACTTCAAGTTTATGCATAAATTAACACCCAGGCTAGTTGTCTGTACAATTGCTGTAACACTATTCAACTAAAAACAATGCCCCAACGGCGTTTTGAAGATAAATACATTGTCAATCATTTGTGAAAATTTCAAAACAAAAGGTCAAAGCGTCTACGAGCTATTTTTTTTTTAAATTTTGGAATGTGCACTAAAAAAAAAAGCCAAGATAATTGCTAATTTGCATAACAATTCACTCAGTAAGAAGTTTGCTAATGCTCATAATTAAAATGGCTGTTACAGTTTCAAATTTAAATATATTATCGTTTTGTAAAAAGTTAAATACAGTGCATAATATGGAGATCCCGTCATTTCTTTTTTTCCATCATGTTTTTTTTAATTATTTATGTACAGCCTTGGTAAATCTTGCTAAGCATTCAAAAGAGATAATTTTGCACCAGTTATCTATATTTTAAAATCGTTTTTTGGGTATGTTCCACTATTCACAATTCTACAAAACTTCAACAGTCTTATAGCCAAGACTTTTGGGATAATAAAAAGCAAAAAAAAAAAAAATTTCACTCCCAAGTGCCCACGAACCTGCATCTCTACCTTAATTTAAAATATCATAATCATAACTGTTTCCAATATACTCATTAATAAATTCCAACAGTCTACAAAATCAAAGTATGTTTGAGAGGTGGAGAATACTTGGATAATACTTTATTAAACTGTTTTGATTTCATAATATTGTCATTTTCGTAAATTTTGGAAATCAGTAAAAATTGAAAAATGTTTTAAACAGTGAAAATTATACCTTAAGAATTTCAGTCACAGTGACTTTATGGAAAGTTGTCTCCACAAAATGTTTTTTAAGGTAGAAGCCTACTCATAAATTAAAATACCCAGAATTTATTCATTTTGCAATAATTGTACTCCAAGGCAATATGAGGATATTGATGTAAAAAATGTTTGGGGTCACCAGCCTTATTTTCGAGTAATTGAGTAATGGTTGTTTTTTAGTGGAAAGTCGCCATTTTGGGACTATTTTAACACTTTACCACAGGTTCCTATGACAAAGATGTTATGCAATATCTCAAAATCTATATATGAAAAAATCATATATTATTAATGACAGAGTACTTTTTGTTGTTCTGAATTTCAAAAAATCTGGGTTTTAAAAATTGTTCTAAAAATAGCGATTTTCGAGAAATATTAGGACATTTAGGATATTTCTCAAGAAGCTTAACTGTAACACACAAAATACGGATATTTCATTGTATTATGGGACATTATCTTCATTATTGTACATGATAACTAATAATCATTGTCATGTGATTTATGACCAATTTTGTCAAAAATTATGAGTAGGCCTCTACCTTAATCACCAAATTACAATAATTCCTAATCCAGTACATGTTGTTTGATAATGGTATTGGCATATTCGCATTGTATTTACTTGATTTAATTACAGGAAGCCAGTGAGGCAACGTTTTTCTTCATCCCTTCACGGTGCACTGCGTACAGATATTCGGTGTCCGACCGTGACCAAGGAGGAAAAGTTGCAGAGGAAACGATGAAAGATATCCTACAATATATTAAATCAACGTAAGTACAGTAAAAATAAATATGTAGTGTTTCCGATATTTTCTTTTTATTTATCATTGACTTATGAAGCATTTACCATACTTCCGAGTCATTATTTTTAGACATTTAACAAGTTGAGGGTTTCCATGGTTACATACCCAGGGTGTTGACATGTAATGGGTTTTTTTATTAATGTATAAGTGTAAAAAGTGTTCCATTTCATGGAAATCATTATTGGTATAGTACCCTGGTAGTTCTTATTTTGGAGTGTGTATATATGACAAATATACTAGTTATAATATACACTACTTGCATCAGAATCTAACCAATCAGAATCTGTAATTCAAATCGAAACGCTTACATTTGTTCACAGACAAATTAGCAAGTCAGTAACAAATCGCAGAATTTTATAGCAGCCAAAATTCCTCGAAGCAAAAATTAAACCTTTTACTGTATATTAAAGGTGTTCAACACAATATAGACAGTACATTGTAAACCGTACACTTTATATAAATCTGTTTTAAACAGAAAAACTGTATCATGCATATTAAGATTGTAAAATTACCACACTTGATGAACAAGAGATGAACATTGAAACAGAGACGGACATCCTCTCAAATACCATATGTGATATTTCTAATCCCTGTATAAGAAATGTATCATTGAAACCATAATAAGCCATATCGGTAGGTGTTGACTGAAATTCCATTATTGATTCAGAACGCAGTCACTGATTGGTTAATCTCCGTCTGCGTGGAAAACGCCGTAATGTTCTATTTCACTTTTAAAAGTAAAACGGTAGTTGTGTACCAGTTTTTAGTTCGTGCTCAACTAGGGGTCAGTTCTACAAGTTTATGTATTTATCAGTTTGTTGAAGAGTTTCGTTCGCAAATAAATGCAGTTCATGTTATCAATTGATTCGTGAGAGTTCAAGTTCAGCTGAAATCCTCCTCATTACATGTTGGAATGTGGCCAACCGAACCCAACCACAAAATGTGTGCTTCGATCATTTTTGAATCATCACAATGCAAGAAAAGCAGAAAATTCATTCCCCATGCATTTAGATTGCAGTACAAATAAAAGTATTCAAAAAGTATATACAGATATTTGTGTAATTCATAACTGTAATTTCATATACACCATTGTTTATATCTGTTTGATCGGTACAGATTTCCTTACTGGGATCGGAGTGCAGGAACAGATCACTTCTATATATGCAGTCATGACATGGGCGGAGAAGTCACCAAACAATCAATTCCAAATCTGCTGAAAAATTCCATAGCTCTATTAAACACGGCAGATTACGAAGATCGTTATTTCATGCCACACAAGGTATCTCATTTCTTTATACAGCATTACCGGTATATTTATAGCTTTAATACTGTAAAATAATTTATTTTCGCTTGGAATTAATTTTCGCTGAAGTGATGATTCAGTGAAAATAAAATCCAGCGAATATAACTTTTTTCCTATATTTTATATTCAACTCGTCAATTTCATTCCATAAATTCCATACAAAACACCCAAAGATTCTTTTCAGCGAAAACTAATTCCAGCTAAAATAAAGTATTTTACAGTGGTGTTGTCACATTGCTCAATGTTGACTGAAATGCATGAACGGGTTTTAGGAACCTTATCAATAAATTTTTATTTTTCAAGGGGTCAGTAATATTATGAGAATTAATTGATACTGATTAATGGAAACTCAGGTTTAATTTGAGCTGATGACCTTGAAATTTTCAATTTTATTTCCAATCACACCTGTGATACATCATATGAATTCACTTTCCCATGTATTATTAACAGTTTATTGAGTTTCGTGTTACTGTAAAACCTCTATTAGAAGCCGCAACTTCTATTAAAATGGTACAATGTAACAGAGGAGATGCAGTTTTTATTAGAGCATCTATACATATGAGAAATGATCAATTTTTGTTTCTCAGTCGTTCAAGAAAGAATGAGTGTATCTTCTATTAGGGATGCGGCTTCAAATACAGATGTTACTGTACTCAGTATTAATGGATAGATCTTGTTCATGAATGGCACAAAAGTCACAAAACTTTTTTTTGCCTTTTCTCCTCCTAAATAGTGTTACATTGTCTACCGCCATTGTGTACAGAATGGAACAATATTTAAGAGGGGGAAAAAACAAGGTGCATGTCTCTCTCGCTCTCTATGTGATTCCGGTGGCCATTTGCAAATATGGTATAATTGTATGCCTGCTGCCCCATGTCTTGTTTCCCATATATCATTGTACTACCAGGTTACCATCCAATTATGTTGTCTGTATTCTTTTGAATGGGATGGGTTACACATTCTTAGTGTGGAATAAGTTTGGTTTAATTTGACATCTATTTTTGGGGTTGCCAGGTTGCTGAATTGTCACCATGCTGGGTTGTGTAGGTGCTTTGTTGTCGTGGTTACTATTTCGAATCACATCTGTAATTTCAAGCTGGTCATGACAAGTGTGTAGCCCAGTGTGGTGACCAGATACCAGATGTTATCTACCTTCATTGTGACTAGTGAATGTATTGAGGCAGCCAATTAAAAAACGTGCTTGCTGTTTGGCACTTATCAATAGATGGTCTCAACAAAAGAGGTCATTTTAATCTGTGACCTCTCTTTCAATAGTGGTTTATTTCTTGTGCCAATTTAAACATATTTCTAATTTTTTTATTATTTATTAATTATCTATGTATTAAACTGAATGTGAAGTATAGTTACAGTAACTCAAATTAAACCAAACAAGTCTGGGTTGCCAAAAACTTTGGTGAATTATATTTACCGGTATATTTGATTCATTTCAAATCATAAATTTTAAAAAAATGTGTGATTGCCCTTGGAAAGTAAATCAAACACTTATTAAAATGTGTTGTACATTGACATGTTTCAGTTTGCTTTCTGTGGAATAGGCAATATAGCTCATTGCTTTGCTAACAAAGTATCAATATTGATATTAGCTTACTGTTACATTTGGACTATCAATATTGCTATTTTGCCAATGAAACAGTGAGATATATTGCAATATCCTGCTGGTTGGGTTGCTTTTTCGTTCACAGTAATAATTTTGTGATTTTTCATAACGTTATATTTTCCCGATCGATTTATTAAAACAGTAAGCAATCTGATAACTAGCTGAGAACACCTTAAGAAGCCTTATGAACCGTGGCTAGCACTGTTTTATTCTTAGCGGAGCCCAGTAATAATAAATAGATAAATAATAAAATAATACAAGAAATCATCAAATTGTAAAGCATGGTCACACACTGTCTCAACAACTGGTTTAGAATGAGCATGAATACCCTGCACAAGTCTCCATGACAACACATTCAGTTTGTCCTGCTCTTCATTCACAACGCAAGTTTTCAGCAATATACTGCCAGAGTGCCGTATAGACTACATGTATGAGGTTTACATTAGTCAATACCCTAGCTGTGACTCGAACATTTTTAGCGATATCTTTGTAAGAATTGAAAATTTGAAATTTGTGGTACTTCTTCATTATGCACTTTGTTTCAAAACCTGACTACCGCTATGTAATCATCATCATCATAAACCTTGCATGAAATTTGTATATCTTAACCCTTTCACCACCAGACTTCCTTGCCCAAATTTTTCAGCACTTTTTTCTTTTATTCGTCAATATTCCTGGAAATGAACCCTAATTTTAGAGCCAACAGACACAATTCGAATCAATTTTCAGTTTTTACTCAAAAAACATTTGGCGTTTTTATTCAAATCTTCAGAAAGAAAAGTGGAGACTATAAACAGGACTATTTTGTGAATTTGTGATGAAAAGAGGGAATTGGTGGTGAAAAGGTTAATGAGGCATCTAAGCAATATCACAAAGTGAAAGCATGCTGTAACTACATGAGATACACTGACACATGTTTATTACCATATTTACTCTAGACTATTAGTAGTGCATGTGATTATGAAATGACATAGTTTTGTCTATAGTCTTAATAAAATATTATTTGCTCTATTAGAAGCACTTGAGCTTATTTAAATTAGGTCAAAAAAAAATTGTTTTGTTGCCGTTAGCGACCGACCCAAAAATATGAAATATCAGGTCGCGTTTTTTTTTTTATTAGGCCAAAATATTAAAAACTCACCATTTTAAGCTGTAAAAAAGTGTTTCCTCTAAAAATTAACGATCCCGGACCGTTGTTTGATCCCCAGGGTTCGGGGGGGGGGGGGGGGGGTAAGTGGCGACTTTTAAACTCAAGTTGATCTGTATTTCTCTGACATGTTCTGAATACTATGAAGTCCATATACCTCGGCTATTTACGATGCCCTTAGTTTTCACGAGTTTAAAAAAAAAAATCTGACCGACCAACCCAATTTTTCAATTTTCCGACTTGAGGGCAACATAAGTTTTTTTTTTTTGGCCTTATTTAGCATACAGTGAATGAGATGTGTTTTTAATAAAGCAAGTATGGTACCCTACCCATAACAGACATATCTGTATGTTCACGGTCTCCATCTGGAAATGCTCCACATTTCTACTCTATTGCATTCAAATCAAAACTGTTCTGTCATTTGTCAAATATCGACTAATCACATTTTTAATGCATGTCTATACTCTGCATGAATAATTGCTTTAAATTGTCACATGTCACAAACTAACCAATAACAACGTTGTATCAGGATATCTCTGTACCACCTCATCCCGGTAAACCACCAGTCATCATGCCATCCGTTGGTCATGGCGGTAAAAACGTCAAGCCATCGTCAAGAAATATATTTGCATCATTCGCAGGCACATTAGATAGGCAAGTACCACTCAACTCTAGAACACAGCACTAAAAATATTAAAATGGTACAGTCACACTGTGTCATGTTTCTAAGGTCAAAGGTAATGTATTTAACACATATAAAAGACATTGTTTTTGAAGAATTTGTAATGTACTTGACCATGACCAGTGTATCCTTTAAACATGTCACCACCAGTTCCCTCTATTCATCGCAAATTCACAAAATAATCTCACTTATAGTCTGCACTTTCCTTCAAAAAGATTGGAACAAAAATAGCCAAAGTTTTGGAGTGAAAACTGAAAATCAACTCAAATTTCAGGGTTCATTTCCAGAAATATTGAAGAATGTAAAAAAAAAAGTGCAGAAAAATTTAGGGGAGAAAGTCTGTTGTTGAAACGGTTAAGTCAATGCTACATATGATTGAGATACGGAGATTTGTTATGAAGCAACTACTTACAAAAATACACTGGCACGCCAATGAGGCAGCAGAAAATCATACATTAATACCGGTATATTAATATATTAATTGTGAGAAACAACTTACTATAATCATACAAAATGAAACAAAGTAAAGTGTCTAAACAATCAGTGTTTTTATAGTTTGTTCATTGAGTCTTGTATACAGTCATTTAGTTGCCATTCAGATATACCGGTAGTCAGATATAATACTGGGACTTATAAATTCACCAGAGTCCTCTGTGTGACCCTGTATCTCAGACATACCTGGGCTAATTACATTTAAACTTTACATCACATATTATATCATAATTATGCATATGCATTTGTTTCATGATCAAATTCAAGATGGCCAAATGGGCAGCCATTTTTGAACATTTATGAAAATTAGGTATTTCTCCCAAAATTTCTGGTAAAAAAATTATATTTTCAACTTTATCTTGAAAACTACATGCTTAATTGCTTTGATTCTTGGTGTGTAGGTACCATGTCAGATTTGTTTATTTTGTGGCGATATCTTTAATTCTCTATTTTTGATCAACATTTTTGTCATGTTGGGTAACAAATTATATTTTAGAATTTCTTTTGAACACTATAATCTGATTGCTTTGATATTTGAGGTTTACTCGGCTACCACAATGTTCTTGTAAGACAGTGGAACTATTTTTACCGCTGGGTCACTTGTTCAAATTTGGTACATACAATGGATACAAAGAGGGGTTATTGATGGATAACCAACTGACAGCCATTTTGTTTTGGTGAATGCTATTCCAGGGTTATATCTCAGCCATGCCTTGACCCCCATCACACTCAAACTTTTCATGTACTTCACACATTATGTCATACATATGGATATGCACTCATTGATGATTGATTTTCAAAATAGCTGAATAACATGAAATTGTTTCTATTCACAAATAGTCCACCTTTTTCTTACTCATGAATATCACTTTAAAAAAAGTACCAATGCGAACTGTTTCTCAAAAATCTGACCCAAATTAATGTTGGGGATTCTATTTTGACTTGTGTCTTGCTAGAGGGCGCACTGACAATGACAATGCTGGTAAAACAGTTGAAAGCTCTTGGCTGCATTGCTGCATTCCATTAGAACCCAACCAAAATTATATTGACCAAAATGCGCCTTTATTAGATAAATGTAGTAATCCAATTAATTTCTAATTTCTAGGGGTCGTGTACGTCCTGCTGTACAGAAACTCTGGTCTAAAGATCCTGATTTTCAGCTTATAGATGGAATGCTGACAGATGAGAATTACAAAAAGTTGTTGGAATTTAGTAAATTCTGCCTTATCCTACGAGGTCATAGGGTAAGTGTAATGGAATTTAGTAAATGCTGCCTTATCCTACGAGGACATACTCTTAAGTTAATGGTCTGAGAGCAGCCAATGAAACAGTAGTCAGGTATCCCAGAGTATGGTAGACTGATCAACATGTGTGTGCTTTTGTATCAACTCAACAAACCCTTCAATTTTTTTTTAATATTTAAAGGGTGATGGTTGTCACGCCGCCTCCTGTTTGACATGGCGCTCATAGCAACGTAAACAACACATGTAAAATTCATTGTTTGTTTACATGTACATGAAATTCGAACATGTGCTGCGATACGACCACTGCCCTTCCAAACTGAAACAAGAGGTTTGTATTGGTCAAGGGAATAACATTGGAACACTTTCAAATGACGTCATTACGAAATGCACTCTTCGATTTGCTGGATGGTTTAACTACAACTGAAATCTATAAATATTTATAAATGAAGGGAATGGGTTTGTTGTGTCAATAGTACTGGCTGTCCAATACGTGAATAATAAATACTGTAAATACATTAATTAATCATGAGTTTTTAATTTAGTGAAATTCACTAAATTAAAACTATGTGAACATGTAAAATAACAATAGAACTCATTGTGTCTCTGCTCACGAACTTAAAACCTAGTAAAATTTCTCAAAACATTAAATAATTTAAATTAAATGCCAGTGAAAATCAATGGTTTTACAGTACACTAAAATTAATGTATTGTGTATATAAACAGGTATGGAGTCCTCGTTTAATGGATTCAGTCTGGTTTGGTTGCGTTCCTGTGATCATTGCTGACTACTATCATTTACCGCTACAATCTGTTATTGACTGGCAGGATATTGCGGTTATTATTCCAGAAAGTAAGGTATGAGATGTTGATGTTGATGTGTAACCTTGGAATCTATCCAGCTTTTTCATGCTAAGCTCAATTAAGGTAGTTAACAGGTATTTGAACGAGTTTCCATGATTTTCACAGTATGGTTTTATTTTATGTTGTTGCTCTAAAAACTCACATTAAAAAAACTTGTGGTCACAGAAGTACTATTCACGTAAAAAAATTACTACAAAATCATGAAACGGTGATGTTTGAGTTTTTAACAGGAAAAGATTTTTTAATATTTAAAAATATTGTTTGGTGACATATAGAAAAGATAGTATGTTGCTATAAGATATGTAATTCTGATTGGCTCAAGTTATTTGGGGATTTTCCCATGAAATAATGATTTTACATGGATTCCAATGGAAATTGTTCAAAAAAGTGGTAATTTTTGTCAGTTTGTCACATTTTCTCTAATAGTATGATTTGCACCAGGTAAAACACTCAAAAGGCATTGGCATATACCATAATCTATAATTAGGTAGTACTTTTTAAAAAAGAAAATATTGTGTTTCGGGATTGAGGAAAATCACAAAATTTAGCAGCAGTGAGAATTTCACTTCAACATGAATTGTAAATGTTGCACTCAATGAATAACATCTAATGAATCAAAGAAAGCTTAGAAAGAACTCCCGTGTGCTGAGAGTATTGGAGACACATTAAAAATTAATTCAAAATTACTTGAACTTGAGATATTGATGGAAATGCAGAAAACTAATTATGCAAATAAGGTAACTAATATGAACACATTTAAGTGTAAAACTAATAAGGC